TTGCTGTTGAAGAGGGGGCGCGACCATTTAGGGTTTCGGGGCTGGGCCCGAAGATCCCGGAAACCTCCATGCCGGAAGTCCACCACCTTACTAACTTGACTAGTACAGGGGCCTTACCAGTTCGAACCAGATCATGGGAGTAGGCGCATATTTCTTTGTGTTTATTCAGGAATAGTATTCCTAACCAGTCAGGCTTCTAGTTTAGACATGCCTCCGCGAATTCTGTTCTGAAGATTTCGCTCTTAATTAATCTCAACCTGAAAGTGGAGTGTTGTCGTTGCGTTGGCAGGGTTGTCCGTCGATGCGTTTAAGTACCTGTGGTAACCCTAAACCCTGTGTAGTTAAGCCTCCGGGTTTAGAAGTTTAGGATCGTTCAGGGGGGTGAGGCATGCTTTTAGGCATGCTTCTAGGTTTAGGGTTTAGGGTTCAGGGTTCAGGGTTTAGGGTACGTAAAGGCTCATGGGGACTGAGTAAGTCGGTAGCATTACTTCTGAGTGCCCTAACTAGGGCTTCTACAATTACAGCGAGCTCCGCCCTGAAGACTGATCTACCCTTGAAATTGTAGCCCTGGTCACCCAAGACTTAAGCCAAACGGTGGCTATGAAAGCTGTCCGTCTATCTGACTACCCATAGGCTCCATAGTAGTTCCTTTTTGGGGACTACCTTATAGGATCCTAGATATAAACCACAAAACGGAACAACTATGGAGCATATGGGTATTCACTAGTCATTTGGAAATTTGGAAGAGTTTGTCAGTGTGGGAGGTTATCGAGCTGGTGAACCTAAAGTACTGGGACTGGCACTTGCTGAAGCCCCTGTGCGCAGGACTGATCTGCTGCTGAGGGGCACAAAGCACGGCGGAGACACTCCTCGCTTTGGGCTGCGCGAAGCTGACGCCAGTGGGCTCCTGGTCGTTGAAAGGTCGTGAAAGGAATGCTCCAACGCGTAAGTTTTCACGGATGTCGTGGTCTGTGCAGCTGTCGACAAGGTCTGGCTGTAGATCAGTTGAAGGAGCCGCACGATGTTGAAAGCAACACGAAATGCGTTCACTTCGCTCGTCGAACTCCCGGCCGCGGGGTCCAACGATAAGAGATGTGATTGATTCAGACCGGAGGGTGCCAGGTTTGTCAGTTGTCCCTTTAGGTTGTTTGCAGGCCTAATCTCAGAAATTGGGTTGCCATAGGGCCGTAACCTCGTGGCTCTGAATCTGCATCTGCCGCCTTCCATGTACGCACATATCTGGCTTGAAGAGATTTAAGATATCTTCTCTGCTGCCTGTCCGGAAGTGCCTGCGACACCCCGACCGCATATCCTCTCGAATTAGCCTGACCCTGAATCCCTGAACCGTGATAGCTTTCAGACTTTCAGCCCGCGCTTTATCGTGACTTTCCTTTGCTTGGACGGGCTTTGCGTGTGGGTTGTTCTGCAATTAAGCCTCACCCCCCAGGTACCTACTATATATCGGGTACTAGAGCCCCTAGGGCCCTATGTAGTAGGTACCTTGGGGGTTAGGGTAAGACTTGGGGTTCCGGGAAGCTTAGGCTTCAGGGCTTACGAGGCTTAGGGAAGTCCGGGCGTCGTGGCTGGGTTACTCCGTAGTCCCCAGTTGTATAAAAACGTGGCCAGCCTTTAAACCTGCCCAAAACCCCTAAAACCCCTAAAGCCCCATAAGCCCCATGAAGCCCCTTAACCCTAAACCCCTAAAGCCCCTTAACCCTAAACCCAAGACCCCTCAACCCTGATTCCTAAACAGCGCAGGCTGCAAAAGAGGCTCCTGCGGCATAGTGGACGTGGTCGCCGAGAGGGCTCTGAAGACCTGGCAGAGTAGCCAGACAGCTACTGGTCAGTTAGTTAATTAGTTTAGTTAGTTAGCTAGCTAGCTGGCTAGCTAGCTAGCTAGCTAGCTAGTTGGTTGGTTGGTTGGTTGGTTGGTTAGTTAGTTAGTTAGTTAGTTAGTTAGATATTTCGATAGAGAGATGGATAGATAGAAAAATAGATGGATGGATCGACAGACAGATAGATAGATACGTATAGAGATAGAGATAGAGCTAGAGCTTGGGATAGAGACAGAGAACAATACACAGTTACCGATATTGATCTAGCTATAGATGAAGATATACATGTAGATATAGCTATGGACCATGGATAATGGATATTTATATAGATCTATAGATCTAGATATACATTTTATAGATTGATAGACAAATAGACAGAGAGATAGATGGATAGATCGCAGATAGATCGTAGATGGGCCCTCCGGACACAAACTTCAAGGGGGCACACCGTGGACACTCCTAGCACGGATCCCGAGTTCCGCTTGAAACCCTGAGGGCGGAGATCCCAGGAAACGGTTTAGGGTTTAGGGTTTAGGGTTTAGGGTTTAGGGTTTTGAGCACTGCATCCCCGGTCCTCGAGTGACCCATCAGGAGCAGCTATATCGATGCCAAACTCGGACTCCTTGTTCGGGGGCTCTACACTCGGATTCATGAGGGCCTCTTTGGGCAGTTCAGCCACGGTTTCGTTTCGGGTTCCCGGGAGGTGGTGTCGTGAAGGTAGGGCTCCGGGAACGGTCTTGGGCGTTGGAGGTTAGTGTTGCAAACCAAAGCAACAAGCCGGATTGCATGAAGGTTCGACATCGCAGCTATCGGACGCGACATGTGGTCCCTGAAGCCCTGCGTCTCCAAGCCTAACTAAAACAGTTGAGAGCCCGAAACCCAAAACCCCTCGCACAAAACCCTCAATCAGGACACCCCAAAGCAAGAAAGCCCAATTGAACCCAAAACCACAAAGCCCTACACCTAAACCTTCATCCTAGCCCGCGTACGCACAGCTGTGACCGGGCGGCATAGATCGACATCCGATGGCTGGGCAGGCCTTAACTTCGAGAACAAATTCTCGTCAACCAGATTCTGGTCGCATCTGTTTCCCCAAGGCCTGTCTATGCTTTTCAAAGCTTTCGGTCACAAAGCCCAAAAGGTGTCAGGAGCCTGATCGATGTTGAGACAGAGAGTGGGTTCCATTCAACAGGCGAAGTAGCCCCGAACAGGCTGCTTTGGACAAGCTGCGCGCATTCAAGGCGTGTGTCAATGAAACCAGGTTCAGCGACTCCTGGCGAAGCTGCAGATTTTTGGATGTTCGTTTCAGGCCCGAAGTTCCCACATTAGTCTCTTGCTCTTTTCGGAACTCAGTATGATGCGGAGCCGCCGTCCGCTCTGCCGCATCTTTCGGCTGGGGTTTAGAGTAAACCCTTTCCAGGATTCGTGCTTGGGGTTTCGGGGTATGCTGTACATGCACAAGTCGTTGCGCTAAGAGCCTTATCTAGCAACATCTTGCCGACTCCCACAATGCCACCCCAAAACGAGAAGAGTTTCATACCGCGGCTAAACCACATTGCAGAGGTCCCGACGTGACACAACCCTAACCGTTGATCTCGGCCGCTCGTAAAGTCAAGGCACACCCTGACGGCTCATCTTCAAGATTTCGGGTTCAGGTTCAGGTAGTGAACTATGGCCCTGCCTAAAGCTTTTCAGCTTCGGTTTCTAGGTACAGCTGCTAACATAGCTCAGCCTCAGGGTCTGGCATGGAGTTCGGGGTTAAAGATCTACTATTATAGTGTCCTAAGCGCAGGTCAAAGGTAGACTGTTTCTACCCCCGACTGATAGCACTCTCTGCGCGCCCCCCCAACATTCGGCAACAGGGATGCCGTGAAGAAGGGAGGCGGCTGACAATCAGGGCTACAGTAGTGATCGTAGTCCTAGGGCAGTCATTATTGCACCAGTACTCGTAGCGGTAACTCCAAGTAAACACGTGATCCAAAAACGTACAAACATTCATCATCACCAAAGCAACAAGGATAGATGGTCATCGCGCACCCACTCATCATGGTTCTCCGTATCATCACCGCCATCTTTGCTCCTATCATCGTCACCTCGTGACCATGGTCATGAACTCGTGCCATGGTCGTCGGCATCATCAGAAGCATCATCATAATAATCGTCACCGTCAGCTGAGCCGGAAGAGTGACAGAAACCGTGACATTGAGCCATCTTCCCCCAGCAAGCTATACTTGTCTAAAGGCCGAGTTGCAAAAGCTGTCGCAAGCTCATTCGCAACAGCTCGGGCTTGTTGGCGGTCGCGACCTGGGGAAGATATCAGGGCTTTGCTTCATCACACACACAGGGGATACTGTTGATGGACAAAATTCTGCATGACCCAAATATAGTAGAGTACCATAAATCCCATAGTTTAGGTATATAAGTCATGCAGGATTTCGTCCATCAACAGTGCTTCGAAAGAGAAGCTTTGCGGGTGCACCGGGAAACCCTCCATTTTCCTTGCAATCCTCGCCACCCAGCCGTCGCGCTCAGCGAGACAGGAGGTCTTGCGAGACAGAATGCTGTCGCAGCAGAAAACAGCTCGAAAGGGGGCCCTACCATCGTTCTGCCACACGGTTCCCTGAACTGAAGCCCTAAAACCTTGGAGTGCTTGTGAAAATACGTTCAGAACTGCAGCTCGACTCCGTGAAAGTGGCCATGTATCTATATAAAGCTCAGTAGGGCAGGGCCCCCGAAAGGGAGTGTCCGGAAGGGGAGCCGCAGCCAAAAGCATCCACGCAGAGCTCTTCTACGTCCGAAAAACTCCTCTCTCTCTGCACGACTCCAAGAAGGCTGACCTCCCTCCGGTGATTCGAAGCTGCACCCTGCCGTCTTCTGCGCAGGGAACACAAACTTCAAAGTTCGAGCCCAAATCTACACTGCGACTTTGACCATATACAAACCGGTGCAGGCACTGTGAAACCAAGCTTACATTCGGACGTCTGGCAAACAGCATTTCCGACATGTGCTGCAAAAGTACCAGATACATGAGTGAGGTTTGTGTTGGTTCTCAAAGTGCACGTCCGATTGCGACATGTAACCTCGGAACACGTGCGCTGAACTCCGACGTGCTAAAGCAACGAGATGCTCAAGCAGCTGTGTGGCACTGGCCGCGGAGCCGTGCGCTCAGCTGCTTGAAAAGTTGCGGAACTCTGCGAATTCGTGGGCTCTCGGCACAGCTTTCGCACATCGGGCGGTGCTAGTATATAGGCTCAGTCCATGTACTCCCCGGCCGCCGTGTCTGGAATCGAGGCTCCTCCATCCATCGGATCCGCCGAGTCCTTGCCTCTCCCGCCCATGCCACTGCGGCGCACCTGCGATTTCTTCTTGTGTTCCTTGCTGAGGATGCAGGATGGGCTGGAGAAGACGGCTACCGGCAAGTCTGGCTTGAAGACGATCTTCAAGACCTTGCACTCCATGGCCTGCGCCTCTGCACTTGTGATCGCAACCGGCTTTTCCGAGTCGATCATCACAAAGTCGCCCGCCTTCAACTTGCTGCCGGCCCGCCTCGCCACCTTCATTGGGGACGTGCACGGGATGGTCCGGGGTCACCCGCAGGGTTGCAGTGCCCGCCCGCAAGTCGACCACTTCCGCAGCTCGTCCCTCCTTGGAGATCTCGACCACCTCAAGAACAGTTTTGCCATCGCCAGCCAGGACCTGCGACCCTTTCTGGAGGTCCCTCCCCTCGCAGTAGAAGTCCATGCGGCTCTTGAAGATGGCATCCAACATGAAGCAGTTCTCCTTCACCAAGGAAACGGAGGACCCACTCCGGACGGAGGTGGAGTCCTCGTCCACAACAAAGCTGTACCCCAACTCCTCGGCAAGATCCGGATCCTGATTCTCCAAGACGTCGCCCGGAGCTGGGCCGTGATGTTTCGGAGTGAGATGACCCGGGATGCCACCGCCCAAGCGATGGCTCTTCTTGGCCTCCACAACCGGGCGTTCTAGTTCTAACACACGAAGGCGCTCCTTGTACATGCCGATCTCTTCCCGAAGCCCTTGCAGGAGATCCACCTTCGCCTCTGCTTTGGCAAGCTGCTGTCTGAGCTGCTCACATCTCTCCTGCAGAACTGCCTTCTCCAGCTGCAGCTCGGCCTTGCTCAACTCTTCTCCCGAAATCGGGAAGCAGCATGCCTGGCAGCTGCAGCTCTGGTCTTGCTGCTGCTCCTGCTGCAAGTCCAGCAGCTTTTCAGCGGTGTCGTGCGCCAAACGCTCCTTGGCCTCGGCATGCTCAGCCACTGCCGCCTCCAAGCGATTCGCAAGATCCTCGCAGAGCTTCTGGCACTTGCAATGCTCGTCCTGCACCTTCTGGAGCTCCTCCCGCATCTCCGCCACGAGTGACTCCGCACTTTTCGCACGGTGCTCTAACTCCTTGCACTGCTCCTTGTACCCGGCACTCTCGCTCTGCGCACTTTGGAGGTCCGCAGCCTTGCTGCACACCTCCACTTCCGCCGCAGCCAGGCGATTGCGCAGCTCTCGGCCCTCCTCCTGCGATTTGTGGAGCTCCGCCTCGAGGTGCCGGCGCTCGGAAGTCTCCTCGAGCTTCTGCCGCTTCCTCGCCGTCTCCTGGCTCTCGGCCTGTCTGAGCCGCTCCCCGAGCTCCCGGCAGCGAGCGCGGGTGTACGGATCCTGCAGGTACCGAGCCGCTTCCACCTCCCGCACCGCTGCTGAGCCGCGCGGCTCTCGCAGGAGCTCGGCCTCGGAGAAGCGCCAGTGGCCCCACCCATACTTGTCGAACTCGGCCGCGCCGTGCTGGAGCAGCGCCTCGCTGAGCAGCTCCGGCCTCGTCACCTTGCATGCGAGCTCTGTTGCGAAGCGCTCCCGGCAGCGCTGGAGCCAGGCCTCGGCCTCCGCCGGCTGCGAGGCCCAGAGCTGCACCAGCCGACGGCTGACCGCCTCAAGAGCTACATTAGCACGACCTGGATTACAAGCAGTGTCAGCAGCCAACTCGCCGAAGGCGTCGATGACGGTGGCCAGGGGCCAGCCGGCCGGGCTTTCGGTCAGGATATAGAGACATTTTGCTTCGGGCTGCTGCTGGGGCATGGCGACAACTCGGAAGCACAGCGGTGCTGCGGCCTTGGCTTCGCCTCTCTCTCGGGTCTGCGCTGCTGAGCCACTACATGGATATACCATGCACTGTACGATCCCAACAGGGTGCAGGAAGGGGCCTTAGCTCGGATTTCGGCATGACGATGCCTGAAAGCTGATTTGGAAGGAGGGAGGAGTCCATGCCCCTTCGGCAAAGAACATGATTACAGGACGCAAGGAGTTGATAAACCACTAACCTGTATATGCTCCCGCAGAGGTCAGAGCTCGATAAACAAAAGTGAATGGGTGTGTGTGTGTGTGACATATGTATACATGCGTACATGCATTTAATCATAAAAATAAACGGCACACATCAATAAACATATATGCGCACTTATATGACACCACACACACACACACCTACCTTTACATATGTATGTCCATTTGCATGTACATACACTAGTCAGACTTACACATGCAGCTTCAAGTGCTTGTACATATGCATTCACGTACACATACTCATGCACGTATGCATGTTCTGATACTTACATGCGTACATACATGCATACATACATGCATGCATCCGTACATCGATAAATGCGTACATACATACATACATACATACATACATACATACATACATACATACATACATTCATGCATACATAGGTACGTACATACGTGCATATATACCTATACATGCATGCATGCTTATTGTGTAACTACATATACATTTATATATATATATGCACACACACACACGCACACACATATTAATGTATATATATATATATAAACATACATACATACTGACTGACGTACTTTTGAAATTCATACATACAAACATACATATATAGGTTCATACCTATAAGTGCACACTGTATGTAATGGTGTATGTATGCACGTATGTGTGTATGTATGCATGCATGTATGTCATGTATGTATGCATGAGTTGCATCATGTGCATATGCGCATGAATGGCTCGGTGCATGCGCGCCTAAACACTGCTCCGAATGCTGAGCTTTGCAGAAACACGTTGCAGTGCTCATGTGAGTCCTCTGCGGTTGCACGGGAAGCTTGCAAGGCTTAAAGTTTGAGTAACATGGGCTTTGTCACGACTGCTCTCCGTGAACCTCCAGGTGGTAACTTGCAGTCTGGCGGCGATACTCGTAAATCTCCGTCCGCATCTGCCCCTCAACAAAGCTCAAGGTGTTCTCTACTTATCAGTGCATCAGCTCGGTCTCTGAATCGGGGAACATGAAACTTGAATCTCTGGGCCAGCTGTTTAGAAAATAAGTTGGGCAATCTACAGCAAAGCTGTAGGATAAGGGATTCCGGCAGGTGCTGCCATGCTGCGGGCTTTAATCAGATCAGCTCCCCACAGTCGACACGAAAGGACAAACCCTGCACGAGATAGCAAGCAGTACAACAGATTTGGACAGGAAGCAACTTCGCGACAGGGCTCTTCACAACACAAAAACGTGGGTGAGTCCGGCTCTCTCCACTACTCTCCCGCAGGATGTTGATTTCAAGCACCTTGGGCTTCGGGATCTGAAGGAGCATGCGCAGCATGAACTTCAATCTCCCAAACCGTAAACCTCTCAAGGCACCGAGCCTAAAACCCTGAAGGCATACTCTTTCAACTCTAACCCCTGGACTGGAGAGCCAGCCTTAATCCCAGCACCCGAACCCATAAACCCCTGAACCCCTAACTCGCAAGCCCAAGCCCTAAACCTGCAAGCACAAAAACATTGGAAGCGCTTACCCTTAAATCATAGACCCATAAAGCCTTCACCCAAAGCCCCTAAAGTCAAGGTTTAGGGTTTAGGGTTGCGGGTTTACCCATAGGATCCATAGTTGCCATAGTAGTTCGTTTTTGGGATGGCCGTATAGGACCCTAAATATAAGTCACAAAAAGGAACTACTATGGAGCCTATGGGTAGGGCCCTAAAGACATGAACCCATCATAAACCGAAACCCTAAACCCTAAACCCTAAACCCTAAACTGAAAACCCGCCCTGCCCCTCCCGGCCCGCCTCTGTCGAGCTGACCTATCCACGAATGAGGCTTAGGAAGGTCTTGGGCTTGTCATGGTGTTTAGGGTTTAGGGGTTTAGGGCTTGGGCTTGTTATGGTGTGCAGGCAGGGGGATCAATAGCTTCAATGTAGGGGCCTGAACACATAGAATAGGGTTTTGGGGTATATCATTCTATAATTACACTAAGGAACCCGCACAGTAGTATTGGTAATTTAGGCCCCTATAATTACTCTCAAGAACACTCCACTCTTTAAGCTAAGCTCACAACATCTGGCACTGCTGTTCTGTCTGTAATGACTCCAGGCATTCCACATGGTCTGGATTCTTTCGGGTGGTGAAGGTGCTTTTGGAGCTGCTTACTACGGCAGGTGTTCTGCCCTGCATATACCGGCTGGTGATATCAGGGACCTCAAACTACGCTGTAAGACGGATCGAAGGGCTCCGGATTTGGAGTCCAGGGTAGAAGGTTCCGGATAATGGTCTCAAGTTTGAATTTCAGGGCTTGCGAGCACTTGAGCTATATGGCAGCCTTTGCCCTAGAATCCATCCTAGAACCTAAATCTTGAGCAAAAGGATCAATCCGGTTCAAGATCGCAGTGCCAGCCTCTTCGGTAGCGCTCATGACAGGCCTGCACCGATATCAAGTTCAGTGTCACGCTCAGTGCTGTTGTCTTGTGTTCTGATTGGTACTAGCCGCTGTTGTCGATGTTTTTGATTGTTCTGCTATTGTCCTCAAAACGCTGATCCATCATCTACCGGCAAACCAACCAGAAAGAAGGTTTGGGGTTGCTTCGGGCTCGCACGACAAGAGAACTGGCTAGCTTTAAGCAAAATGGGGGTTTCCGAAAATAGGGGACCCTAATATAGTACCCTAAATAATAGGATCCTTATTATAAGGACCCCAAAATAAGGTACCCTAATTTTCGGAAACTCCCAAATAAGCTACACGAGGGCACAAGGGGTTTCTCTGTGCTGGGACCATGGCTATACGCCCCTTCCGACGCTAAAGCCTACCTTGTGTGTGTGTGTGTGTACTTCTGCGTTAGCTTGACAGTTTTTCGCTGGTCGTCAAGCTGTCAACGTCTTGCGCACACTGCCATGACGACTGCTAAACTGGACGTCTGACGATTTCACGAAGCCACTTCCCCATCCTTCGCCCCTTCTCCGTATCAGCAACTCGGAGACTTTAATCCGACCACACCGGAGGAGCGCATATCTGATGCAGAGATGCGAACCTGGTGAATTCGACAGACAGCAGCCAACAGCACAGAAACACAATATCAAGAAACTCAATCGGCTTGAACAGCACAGTCCATGGAGCATCTCCACGCTTGCTCCGGACATGTAACATGTCATGTCAGATCGCATGGTGCAATCAAGATTGTCTGATTTATGTAGTACATGATACTCTACATCGTTGAAACACATACCCATGCAGTGCCAGTCGAACAGACACCAGTTTCCCAAAGTGTAGCACACGAACTGCCGCACCCTGAATAAACTTGGAGGTTGGCTGCCTTCGACACATGCTGCCAACTTAAAATTCAACTGCACCCCCCCTCCCCCCCTCGGACTCCGCCCCGCAACCCAAATCGAGATCACGCACCATAGAGCTCTCACAACCCTAAACAATAAACCTCCAAACACATGCAGCCGAACGCCCTGATCCTAAAACCTAAAACCCAAAATCCCCTTCTTCGCCTGGGGAGAATGACAGCAGTTGTGAGATGTCGCGGTGCATTGGCCTCTGCAGGCATCAAGTAACAAGGGATTTCGGTGCAGGGTTCATGGTCTCTCGCAGCGAGGATTTGGATCCCAGAATCCAACAGAGTGTGGATTCAGATTTTTCGGGGGGGGGGGGGGGGGGCAATGATTCGTTCCAGAGCTACAAAGGTTGTATCACTCGGCCTCCGGTGATATTTTTGCCGGACCTCAATCAAGGTTCGAGCAAGGTACTTCCAAGGTCTCACAGGGCAAAAGCACCACCAGGGCCCCGAGGCTCGAACCCCCAAGACTCATCTACAGACACCACAGATCCTTGCACCGACGAGCTCATCCCCAACATCATACCTAAACCCTAAACCCATCAACCAAAGAACACCAAGAAGAACAAGGCCTCGCCCCCCCAGTCTCCCGAGGCCTGGTCCGCCATGAGGTCAGCCACCTTGGCGCAGCACGCGCTGTCGCTACTTCTCGGCTTTTTTTAGGGGGGTTTAGGGTTTAGTTATAAGGGTTTAAGGTTTAGGGTATTGCGGTGTACCCATAGGGCTCCATAGTTGTTCCTTTTTGTGGTTTATGTTTAGGGTCCTAGAAGGTAATCCCAAAAAGGATCTACTATGGAGCCTATGGGTATAGGGTTCAGGGGTCATAGATTCTTGCCTGAGAGCCTTCTGCTTGATGATACATGGTTGAGGATTGAGGCCTCAGCGCCTGATTAGGGGCCTGGGGCCTTATGACCTCTGACTCTCGGCGCACAGTTTGCTGCATGTCAAGTTCTATAATCTACAGTACCCCTATACATCCTAAACCTAGACCCTCAAACTTAAATCTATAATCTACGCCTATACACCCTAAACCCTAGACCTTCAATGCTAAGAGCCAGGGTCTAAGTGAGCTCTTGGAATGCAAATCGGGAAGATGCTGAGATTTGAACGCCTAAAAGCCCCACTGAACATGGATCCCACGAACGAGGGATAGCTAGGGTAGGGGCCTTAATAATTAGAATAGGGTTGTAGGAGGGTTCCTTAGTATAATTACAGTATAGTATATCCCCAAGCCCTATTCCAATTATTAAGGCCGATATCTTACCTCTGAAGGCGCTGCTTGGCGATGCGAGTTTGCTTCGAGCTCGCCGGGCTCGAGCGGCGCCCTGCTAAAACTAGATAGCTGGATCGAACGAAGCGTAGATCAATTCCCAAAGCCCTAAACTCACGAAATTCCAAGTCCGAACTGCATGTGGAGCAGGTCTGGAGGTTTGAGGGTTTCTGGTTTTGGGAAGGGAGGGGAGAAGAACACTTCGATCATCGACGCCGTCAGCCTTGTTATCGATGCTGCGAATATCAGATATG